ATAAAAAGGGTGACCAAAACCAAGCACAATAGCCCTGTTTGGAATCGGGCATTGCTAGTGGTGATGGATAACGGTCTAGCACTGGGAATAGTATAGCCTTCTTGTGACACTCTAGACATGGTCTTCGATGAGGAGGCCTCCCACGCGCTGGTGCGTTGGGCAGAGGAGAGGGACTTTCACGTGAGTCAGAGACAGCAGAAAACTGCGATGCCACCACTACGCAATCAGTCCCTGCTGCAGAGCGGCATCTGCTCGCACTACGGCGTTCAATTGTCCACCATACCCACTGCTCAGTGGTCGGGTCTTCTCGTGCGCCCTATTGATCTGCCACCGGAAGATCCGGGCAGTTACGCAGTCTTGGGGCCCAACTCCAGTGGTCTTTGCGCCTCCAGTCCTGTCCCAGATTACATGGCGCAGCACCTGCCCGAGGAGCTGCGTCAGCGGGGCGCCACCTCCTACCTCGATTACGCCAAGTTTAAGCATGGCACACGCCTCCGTCTGGTGCAAGAGACCAGGGGTCTTGATCCCTCCACTCCGCTGGTTACTGCCACGCGCATCTCACGACATCGAAATGCCGCCAATGTGAGTTCCCACTTCCTCGCTCAGTTCATCTTAACACTGCCTTTGTAGAGTTGGAGGATGTTTGATCCCTTTCTGTAGCAGTGGAGTTGTTATTTCGCCATGTGAAGACAAATGAGTAGTCTGTAGATTGCGTATGGGACCACTGCTGCCTGTTCTCATCACTTCTGCACCTGGCGTTTGGACACCCTTCCTCCCCAACTTTTGTCAACGTTTCTAGAGCGAGCATTAGTTGAGAGTAACTACTGGCAGAGGTTTTTTCCAAGGGTGTAGACACCTGCCTTGCCTTGCCTTGCCTACTGCAGGCTTGCTCTCTCAATCAAGGCACTTATGCCGATGCTGTTGTCTGTTGAGTCCCCACGATTCGCGTTTAGTACTTCCTACGTGCTCTTTCTCAACTCTCTTGCAATGTGTAATAAAAGTGTCAGCTCTATTGTTCAAGAGGACTATTGTAGGGTCAGGCTCTTATCTTTGCTTGACCAAATTCTCACCTCTTCATAAGGAAGAGGCAAGACCGTGGGTGTCCCATATTTCGTGGAGGATGTGTAGAACCCGTTGGGATCTTGCTGAATTGGTGACTGGACTGTGGAGTGCGTGGCACTCCCAATATTAATGTTGTTAGCTTGGCACCGAACATGTAGACTCCATCAAGTTAAGTGGATTTCAAGCTTTGTGAAGTGTCAGACCCACACACTCACTTCCACCTGAGCCTTTTGACTTCTAGGGCCTCTATGCGGTAGACGTGTGTCTGCGGATTGATTGGCTGTTAAGCAGATGGTTTTATTGCGATGGTTGCGGTGAAGGTCCATTCTAGCATTTTATCACCTAGGTGATGTCAGGAGTCGGTGTCAGTGGCAAGGAGGTGATCAAGGAGGAGAGGATTGCCCAACTCTGCATAGTTCACCCACTGAACACATGGCTCTGGCTTACCCTCTGTCTCATTCCCACCGTCCTTCACCAAGTCTATCGTTCTCTATCAATTGGGGAGCTAGCAAACCACCTTCGCGAGATACTTTACTCCGACAACCATGCCCAGTCTGCGCATCCTCCTCATCCGACTCCTCTCGACCTTCCCGCTGGCGAATTCCTTATGCCCGATCGCCACTCCGTACAACCCACCTGTATCCCCTCCATTCGGAAGTTTCTCGTCCAGGACCAGGACGGTTCGTGTCGCTTCAAAGGCCCCGTTGTTGTCTTCTCTCTCGACTCCGAGACTTCCCTAGATCGCGCTGTTGAGGACAGGTGCACTGTAAGCTACATTTTTTGTTGACCTGCAGCACCTAATGCCTTCGTCCCCTTTCCTCCTTACCGACTTTCTTCTAGTCCAAGGCCCCGGCAGAGGTGCCCTATACGGTAGGTTTGTACGAGGCCTTCACATCAGTGAACGCCTTCGAAGCAGTGAACTTGGAGCGACTGGAGTTGTTGGGTGACTCCTTCTTGAAGTTCGCTGCCAGCCTACTTCTCTTCGCCACCTCTCCGGCCCACACGGATGAAGGTCAGCTGACCTACGCTCGCATCGCGCACATCTCCAATGCAAACCTGCATCGTATCTCCATGAAATTCGGTCTCTTCCGATACTTTTGCTCTTGTGTTTTTAAACCCGAGGCGCAGTATCTCCCGCCTTACTACGCCATTGCTGATCCGGTGAGTGCTTCCGTTACCTTGCTCATAAAAAATGTTTTTGTTGATTTTCGCCTCGATTGTTTATAGGCAAGGGCCTGTCAACGTCACGACATGCGTATGTTTGTGAAACTCTACGACAAATCCATTGCCGACTCCATGGAATCCCTCCTAGGTCTGTGCCTCCTGAACCTGGAGGCCCCGAGGGTTGGGCGTCTCTTGAATCTCTTCAAGCTCTCCAATGAACCGAATCCGCTGAGTGTGTTGGTACGGGCGGAGTCGGTGGGGAGGGAGGCCTATCCCTCTTGGGTGCCGCTACTTCTCAGTCCTGAGCACCGCGTCATCGATCCCACTTTTGCGGTGGAAGACGACTCATTGATGGCCAAGCGTAAGGCCGAGGTGGAGTCCATGCTTCTGGCCAGTATCCCACCTCTTCCTAAGTCTTCGGCTACTGGCGAGACGGCAGCGGCGCCGGAGGCGGTGAAGTCAACGCCGAAAGAAATCTCTGAGATGATGGAGGAAAGGCGCTTGGAATTGCAGCCACTGGAGGACATTATCGGCTACAGGTTCAGGCGGATCAGGATCCTCCTCCAAGCCATAACCCACCCCTCCTCGCGTCTGGCTTTCATCTGGGGTTGCTACCAAAGGTACTGCTTGGCCCTCCTCTTCACCCCGTTCGCCTTTTGCTTGTGCAGCGTTTGCGTTGTGCCCCAAGGTGCTATAAAGCCCACGAGTGCAGAAGCAGCTTTACCGTAGACGTAACAACGTGGCAAGTGAATCCCAGGATGTTGGAGAGGCTCGGACCAATTTACTATTTAGTTGGTCAAAGCATCAATCTTCTACGTAGCTTTTGCTGTTTCGAGAGTATTTTCTGTGCTCACTCTTCTGCTTCCATTGTCTCGAGTCTTTCAGTGGAGTGGCGAGGGTGGTCAGCGGTGGTGCCTGTTGGAGCCTTTAATGGAGGTTTCGGGTTGTCACTTCATTGGTTAGGCGAACTCCATTGGGAAGGAGAGGAATTCTGCCAAAAAAGGAGTATCAGAAAAGGAGCCAAGGCGTATCTGAAGTGAACTCCAGATGAGATTGTCGTCTCCTGACTTCAGTAGCAAACTACGACTCGCTCCGTTACTAGCCCCACTGTTGTGGGTGCTCCAATTTAGCCGTCCGCCGTGGGTACCTTTCTCTCGTGAAGACTAGGCATTGTACTTGGCCACCAGATGTGGCACTGCTCCTTCCTGATCGTGGCGTCCCCAACGCCGTCACTAATACCACTCCCCGGTTATACCTGAATGCGAAAAGTAGTAGCGTGTTGACTAATGCCGGGAGACTGGGAAGGTCCGAGCAGTCGAATGTCCAATCCGAATATCACTTTGGTCTGCTTGTTCTCCAGGTTGGAATTTCTAGGCGATGCTATTCTCGACTTCGTGGTCACTCAGCGCATCTACAAGGACCACCCCAATATGGATCCGGGTGGGTGTGGCTTCTGTCAAGGTCAACATTCCTTTGATCACATCACTACTATGTGTGCTTTTTCGTCCCAAAAGGCGAATTGACGGATCTGCGCATCTGTCTGGTCTCCAACATCAACTTGGCCGTTGTGGCTGTTCGATCTGGCATTTACAAATTTTTGGAATATTTGGACCCCAACCTGTGGTCCTTCATCAACAGCTTCTCTGATGCCGTGTCAAAGGGGGTCTGCAACGTCTGGAAATTGGAGGTGAGACGAAGAGATTTTGCGGTGGGCCCCTTGATTTACCCATCCCAACTGGAAGTGACCGCATCTCTGCACTTTTGTTCACTTGCAGCACGACTTCAACGAGCGGAATGAGATGCTCTCCTACAAGGTGCTGGGAGACATGCTTGAGGCCATAATCGGGGCTGTCTTTGTGGACTCTGGTGGTGTCACTTCAGTCGTCACTGGTGTCATTTATCACCTGTTAGGACGAGAATTCGGTATGTCCTGCACTTGTTCGCTCTGTGCATGCATGGGTAGATTATGTGCCATTTCTGGAGGATTTCAAACACGGCTTGGGCGTCGCTCCGCTTTGTTGGAATGAGCTTTCAGTCTTCTTCTAGAGCCACGGAATCAATGCAGCACCTTCCACTTACGGTAGACGATTCAGTGAAATTCTCTTAAACTTCGACCTCACCTTAGCGTTGGAGTGCAACGATTCCGATCCTCTGTTATTGCATAAGGGAAATGAGATAATTAAATGCTTTGTTTCGGTCTGACGTTAGTCGGTAGGCTCCTAGAAGTAGGTGTTACACGTCAAACGGGTGGTGAGTGTGTTCCTCTTCTTCAGAGGCCTACGGTAAAGACTTGCCTATGGACCCAGTACGAATGATGCACGAGCTATACCCGGATTTGGAAATCTCGTAAGTGAACCTCCAAGCCTGTAAAGCCCCGCATGTGTTTTGCCTCATTGTTGAGGCACCCAGTGACAGTTATTTAAGTAGTGTCACGCTGCCTGGAGAGCTGACAGAGGTGATATGCTTTTCCCCATGCAGGGTCGCGGAATGCTTGCCAATGAATAACGCAAGTGGCAACTCGGAAAAGGCGAAGGCTGAGGCGAATGCTCAACGGCGTCAACGCGTTCGTGTGTCAGCCAACTACAAGGGTCGCCGATTGAGTGGGGAGGGCTTCAACCTTCGCACCGCCAAGTTAAAAATCGCTCAACAGTTGGGCATTGGATTTGCCTAAACACTGGTATCTTCCCTTCTCTAAACCATCATCTACACGAAGCTTTCTGCTTAGTAAATTGTTGTTGAAATCTTCATAAATCCTTACGCTTTGGAGAGCTTGACGCCTCTGGCCATAAAACCTGGAGTCTCACCTCCCGATCAGGTGCACTTCGCTGGTGGTTTTGTCGATGCAAGGCAAGAACTATTGGGAAGTAGCGGCGCAGACGTGTGCCTCCATGTACGATCGTCTCAAGAGCTTGTTTCTGGGTCTTCTGATTCGCTTGCCACCTTGTTTGCATACGTCTGTCGAAGGTAGTATTTTGGAGCATGATAATTAGCCCCCACATTTTAGGGAACATTGCGTCATAATACTTAAGGGTGTGAAACGGGGTAGACTGGTTTCTTACACTTGGTAAGGTCATTTGATCCACGAGAATGGGTTATGCAACGTATGTCAAAGCGGAATCTGAAATGGCGTGGAGTCTCTAATTCTCCTAGAGTTGGGTAAGCGGATTGACTATGCTAAACCTAGAGGCGAAGTGGATCAGGTGAGTACGAAGGTATACGCCAGACGTGGGTGAACCGCGGTAACGCGTGGACTTTCGAACGCTGAATGTATGGTTAAACACAGTAAAACAAGCAGGCGAGAAAAACGCAGGTGTCTTGCTTAGGTACTTACCACATTAAAATTGTTTTTTTCCTAAAAACTGGCTGATTAAAATTTGTGGTTGCCATTTGGTTACAAAGGTCACGAGCAACCTATGGATCGAGATTTGCTGTCCGACCTCTGCAACGCATGTTGAAACTACATGCCGATCAAAATAAAAGAAAATCAAAGCTTCATCTTGTTTTAAATTGTTACTCTCTGCAACAGCTCTAAATAAAAATTATTTTATCATTTAAGACATATCCAAATACTACTTTAAATAATCCGAGAACGGGGTGGTCTATTTGATTTAGTGTTGAATGTCGAAGGAGCGGCGCGTTGCGCATCTCTTTAGGGAGATGCTTCGCGCTAGCAACAATTTCACCGACTACAATTTTAGGATATACTTCACCCGTCGTGTCAAGGAAGAATTCAGAAAGCATGAAAACATTAAATCGCCCGAAGAACAGGACAAGTTCATAGCCGAGGCCGAGAAGACTCTGGGCATTCTTCAAAGGCAATCAGCACTGAGTCAATTTTATCAGGGTCCTAAGCTGCCCATTGAATAGATTTTTAATTACTTTTTGCAAATAAATTGTAGTTGTTACCTGTTGTTTTTGTTCGTGGCTCCAAACTTGTTATTTTGCCCACCCTGGATTAATGTTTCTTACAGTTTGTAAGGTAAGGACTCCATGATACTGCAACGCCTCCTCGACGCTATCGGTTCCTACTACAGTATTTCATCACCAGATGATCTTAAGTAAGGCTGAATGGTGGTTTATTTTGTTAGGATTGATCCGGTATTCGAGGAATACTTGAAGGCGCTTTTCATGGCTGAGGACGAAGATGAATTTGATCCGGAGGAAGTGTCACACCTTTTAAAAGAACACATTCCTGAATCCAATACTATCCCAAGGTGATTTTGAAGTTTTGAGTGAAGTTCTTTTATTTTCTATCGACGCGAATTAGTTGCGATTTTGTTAGCAAAATTTTTACCGACTGGATATTGGAAACTCGGATGCTTCTGATGAGTAAGGCGGACGGTGAACTTGGATTGTCAGTAGCAGGAGGTTATTTATCTTTTATTCTGCTCCTCTTACTCACGAGTTGTCAACATCCTGCTTAATACTTTAGGTAAGCCAGCAACTGGTCCTACTGCCTACAATGATTCGGATCATCTCGCGCGCTTTTTCCTCCCGGTAAATTTCCTTCGTCTATATTGATAGCATTTGCTAGTTTGCTTGCCTGCTTCAGGCACGAATTCGTAGTGGCTTGTTGTGGTTTTTGGAATCAGCATCCTAATCTCCGTTATTTCTTTCTAGAAATGTGAGGTCCTTGAGGAGGCAAGTCGAGTCAGGAAAACGAAGAGTACAGCAGACGATGATGATTGTCCAAGGTTAACTTCAGGTGAGAGCTTGGCTACAATGGAGCTCTATGGACGCTCGTCTTTCGTGAAATCGAAACCTCCCCCTCACCCTTCGGAGGTAAATGGAGTGGTGAACGGTGCAAGTTATTTATTTTATTTGAATTTCACGTCCAAAGCATGTTCTTATTTTGAAAACAACGTTTTATTGCTCACCATGCTTTTGTATGTCGTATTTATGTCTCCTAAAAATGCTTTGTCCAACAGTTGTTTCATTTCTGTTGATGCATGTACTACCGTAATGCATTGAAACAGTTTGTCTCAGTTGGATTGACTTTCTTATGAGGGAATGAGGTTCTAGCTTTTATTGCAGCACTAGTTAATCCATCGCGTAGTTTGGAAGATTTGGTTGTTTTTTGTATTCACGAACACATATTTCTCGTATTTCGAGCTCGAAACGAACAAGTCCATCCATTGGATAGTGTATACGTTCCCAGTTTTATTTGTTAAGACTTTGGAATGTTGAAATAAAATTATTAGCTGAGCAATATTTCCACCGGGTTAGTCCGACCCTAAAGATGCTTTATTTATGTCATTACCAGTAGCATCAACGTATTTTCACATACATTCTTTTTGGTCACCTGTCTCCGTTTGTTGGCATAGAAACAGTAATAATGTCTATTCAGTTAAGTTATCCGTCGTGTAAACCGAAATTTTATTAAGAATGAATGGGAATTTGACGTTAAATGTAGAGCGTTGAAGTGTATAAGGGGGTGGAACAAACTCGACCGCTTTTTATCTGCTCTGACTAGGGTAGATATTAAGTCACATCATTGCTAGAGGGGGCATATTGGTACCACTGGTAGCGATGCGCTGGTAAAGTTAGTAAGAAATTAGATTGCCTTTGAATGTATTTCTTTAAAGGCTTTCATTGAGTTGTCTTTGCTTGTCGCTGTCTGCGATGTCACACTTCAGTCATTGGTCGCGACTCAAACTGCATCTATGTCCTAGGTTTTCTGTGGGGATTGATGAGCAACATCACCTTTATTTGTAAAGGCAGACATTTCTGACAGTACTTTGCTTTGTAACACTATTTAGGATCTCAAGACCCCTGATCTGTGGTTATAACTTATTGAAAAGGACATCTAGAAGATTCTGTCATTTCATAACTCGGCAGTGTCTAGCTGATTTTGATATTCGCATGATGGGCGTTGTGGATTGTCTTCGTTTAACAATACAAATTCCTTCTAGCAGGATGGGTTTCACATAATAAAACCGCCCTTCCGCTGGTAAAACGTGTTCAACAAGGTTTTATGCCATCACATTTTTCCCCACACAGGTGAATGGTGGTAAGCTGCGGTACCTGAACGGTGAGGTGGTGAACACCACTGGAAAGCATTATATTGAAATAGAAAAGGAGTATCCCAACATCCCAAAACCCGTCTACTTGAAGGCTGCGCGCAAGTACCACTTTCACTGATGTGTTTTGGTCGTGCTACCTCTCACTCTTTGCATTTACCACAACTGTTATTGTCATTGTTTATTGCATTTTATTCGTTAATATCATTTCAATGTTTCCAATTGAGTGACTTGTGTACCTGGTGAGCACGCCAGTGCTCCTTGGCTTTCATTTCGATTAACTCAATTTTGCTACGTCGGCTGGGAAGCCGTAGCTCGTGCCATTTCTAGCGGCGTCGTAGAATGTATGAGCCTAACTAGAGCCCCATTATGGACACATAAAGGGGCCGATGGACTGTTGATAGAAGTGATATGAACAAAAACATTGGCAGTTGTATGTACGGTAGTTGATCATCTGAAGTAGTAAAACCACTTCTTTATCGTCCATCGTGCTCTGGATGAACATACTTGCACAATGAGTGTCCCATTTGTCTTCCAGTAGGTCCTCTTCACCAAAATGCAATGATTTGTCTAGGCCTACATAAATAATGAAACAGGGGCGCCGGTAATGGACTTGACTCCGCAATTTCCAGGCGCAGTGAGGCAGAGACATTCAGTCAGTATGTGAAAGCACGCGATCGGCGCATGAGAGGTAAATCTGTTCGTGGAAACGCTGAATGCGACACACTTGTTCACGGGCATTTGCAATTTCGAAGAGTTTGTGCAGTCTCGATATCTAGAACGGTATTTGTTGAAAAATGTAATGCACGTACGGTGAGAGAAAAACGTCCAAAAGTAAGTACGTGTTGCACTCCTTAAGACTTCTTCTTTCCTGCCTTTTTTGGAGTTTAAAAGCTCCAGTCTAGTTTTATCTTCTCTTGCTGTCCTCCTTTTTAAATGTCTCGCAAATGTCAAAGCCTCCTTATCGTGTCCCAACTGACCCTGTGTGATGGGATTTCGGACGTTGTAAAGATCTACTAGTGCCTAGTCGAATCAGTGTTAGAACGGTAGTAGAAGAATATTATTTCCCGAGCGGTTACTTAAGTTAACTAAACTCATCTTCTTTTTAGTTTGACTTAATATGAAATGTAACATGATGATCTTGGCGGAGAGAGGGTTGGAAGTCATAATACTTGGGCAGATTATGTGTTGTCCACGTAGGGAAGAGCTAGGTTTGGGGGCCACTGGCACGGTCGGGAGGTAGCTCCGTTTAGCGGAAGTACAAAGACCAAATTGGGGAGTCATACGGATGTGTTGTAAAGCCCTCCCCTTACCTTTTGAGCGTCGTTCCTGGTGCTGCCCTTGATTAGCCTTCCGGCTTAGCCAACACAACGTAGTCGGTGCTGTGAGAAACACACCTGCCGACCAACTATACATGTTATCGAATTTTCGTGTACATGAGAATAACGTCTCGCCAATGGTCTTTCTTTGGAATCCTAAAGGACTTAGAGTTTGCTCCAGTTTGGTATTTGTGTTGGTGGAAGACAGGATTGTGTTGGTCATCACCGAAGCTCCTGAGATGGTTCAAGGCCATGGGTAATGGCGCTTCAACTGTTAATAGCAAACCTGTAGAAAACGGGAGTTGTGTCCTCACAGAATCGTTCCTCCGCAGAAAATGCCATTCTTTCCTCACGTTAAGCTTTGGCTTATAATAATAGAAACCAGGCTGTATGCTTACTGAGACCAGATTCGCTTTTCCCAGCCGCAAATGCAGCGCAACGAGACTTCCCTGAAGACGAGAGAATACATACTGGCTCAGAAGACGCATTGTCGCCCTACAGTTGGGTGTAGGGCTACTGGCGTGGCTCGTCGGTTCGTCCGACGCTTGTCGGGTGAACAGCAAGGGGACGTCTAAGCGGTCTGATGTCCAAACTGAAAGTAAAATAAACATTTAGCGTTTTGCACTTATGCTTTTGAATATGTGAATTTCTGGTAATTAGACATTGCAAATACGGAACTGAGCGTGGTCCTAAATTATTACTTAAATAGAGATATAATGAAACAAGCTGAAACACACATTCTTCAGAAAAGTCCAGGCGAATCGTAAAACATGAAAAGCAATATTGCACCACGTCCTCTTTGCCCCACACCTATTTCATCCAATCACAAGCTCGGGCTCGTCGCTCAACGGTGTGCATGTTGACGACTTCGTGTTTTCAGCACCTTTCGCAATGAAGGCCAAGCTTTTGCTGAACACAAATAGCGCCAAAGGCCTCCTTACCATATTTATACTTGTATTGGCATGGGTGGTGGGATTTTGCTCCCGCCTCTTTTCGGTCATCAGATTTGAAAGCATAATTCATGAATTTGACCCGTGGTTTAACTACCGAGCTACTAAGCAAATGGTTGATAATAATTTTTATGATTTTCTTAATTGGTTTGATACTACCGCTTGGTATCCTCTTGGCCGAATCGTTGGTGGTACTGTATATCCTGGACTCATGGTTACATCGGGTGAGGCTCATCAATGCTACACTTAATTACGCGTAAAAGATGTTCCGTTTTGTATAGCTTAGGCATAAACTTATTACTTTATTAGAATCTTTAGGTTCTAACAAACGAACGTAATAGCATCTGATTTTGATTTAGATTGTTTTTCCGAAGTTCAAGCTTGTCTTATGCAACGGCGTCATCAATTTATTGTTTTGATTATTTAGGGTCAATCCATTATATTCTCCGATTGCTCAATTTTCCGGTGCACATTCGCGAAGTCTGTGTTTTTCTCGCCCCCATTTTCAGTGGTTTAACTGCCATCATGGGTTACCTGTTGACCAAAGAGCTCTGGAATGATCGCGCTGGCCTCTTTAGTGCTTGTTTTTTGGCAATAGGTGAGTGCAAAAGGACATTCCTTTGAGAATATTTTTCTTACTCCACTCTCTAACTCAGCGTGATGGTGCAGTATGGCACACTAGTTTGGTTGGAGCCCTATTGTAAGCCAACATAAGGCTAAATACACATAGCATAGGTAGCTTGAAGGGGCTCCGACCGTCACCATCGGTACTTCCCGTGATCATTCACAATCGTGAAATTGAGCTTGAACTTACACCCATAGTGAATTTTATTAATAATGAGAAGAATGTTTATTCTATTGGTAGCGCTGCATGTCGTAATTTTCGATAGTTCCACCATTTGCGTCCTCTGTGAACTACATTAGAGGACCCACTGCTTTTGTACTGCTCGGGACTGTAAAAACGAATGCACTTCCTCTCTGTTTATTTTTGAGAAAAATTCTCTTAAGCGGAGGTAACCTTAACAAATCCCCAACTCAAGGTAGTACTATAGAGATGAAGCGTACTTTTACCTATCCCTTTCGGCTTTTTGACACTAATCCAGCTCATTCTCATCCCTGACTTTTATCAAGTTCTTCCAACGGAGGGGTATCTAGTCTTTAAACGACCCACCTGATTCAGTAGTCTCATAGGCACCTTAACCACTTTTTGCGAGTACTTTGTATTTTTTAAAAATCTAATCTTGTGTGTCTACTTGATCGCGTTGTAAACCCAAAGTTGGGGCGGCCTTGGGAAGCCGACGCATTTGTACCGGTCTTTGCTCGTAAATCCGCAGATTTTGGATGCCTTTCCGCACTGTTTAAGTGTCGGTATGAAGAGCGTTCTTTTTGTGGGATAGGTTCTTTCAGCAGTACCTCAAGGTTGAGCCGTAATCATCCCGTATGGAAGGATGGTTTTGAAGACAGGTTTACTATAAATGAGGTTTGGATGACGTGTTAGTTACATAGCAGAATGCTGAAACACGAGTATGCTACTTTTAATGCCTCCATGTGATTGGGATGGCACGATAAATTAAGTTTAATGGGGTCGGACGAAATTATCAGAGCAGTCTGTCTTATACCGAATCTTTGCTGACTCTTTCTTCTATTTATCCCTAGTTCCCGGCTACATCAGTCGGTCGGTGGCCGGCAGCTACGATAATGAGGGGATAGCGATATTCGCTCTACTACTTACCTACTTCCTCTGGCTACGTGCCGTACGCACGGGACATCTTTGTTGGTCAGTGCTCTGTGCGTTGGCCTACCTCTACATGGTCTCTGCGTGGGGCGGCTACGTTTTCATCATCAACCTCGTACCGCTGCACGTGTTCGTTCTCTGCCTTACCGGTCGCTATTCCATCCGCCTCTATGTGGCCTACACTAGCTTCTACATCCTAGGCCTCATTCTATCCATGCAGGTCCCCTTTGTTGGCTTCCAACCGGTTCGGACAAGCGAACATATGGCTGCAGCTGGGGTGTTTGTACTCCTTCAGGTGATTACTTAAACTAATTTGCCCCTAGATTTTCCCTCACCCTATAAATTTGCTTATTTAAAGATTCCATGTCTTTGTTTAGATGGTTTGTTCCATCATAAATGCAAAAAATTGGTGACTGTCATCGTTTCCACTCTCCGTCTGCTGATTGAAGCAGTACCCATGGCCTTTTATGTTTAATTCTTTCCTTGCAATCACAGAGGATTGGATAAATACCATCAATGACGTCAGATTGGAAGTTAGAATTGGGGTGGTGACTTATTGCCCAATACAAAGATGAGTTGCAACCCAATACAAATCGCTGCCTTTGGCTTAGAACCAAATCATAGGCCAATGCTGGGGTCGTTGGCAAACAACTTAGAATCATAACTAGTCTCTGTGGAAACTTGAGCATTTTACGTCCTTATACAGCCAGGTTATCCTTCAGGGACGCAGACGGCTGGATAACCACTGGTTTTAAACGAGTCTGGAGTCATGCAGGCCACAACATAGTAGAGTGAAATTTACTTCAATATCTTTCACCATAAGTGGTATTTCATTTTTTGGGCCTATAATCCCAGAATTCGAATGTGTTGGAAACGCCTACTTATTGGCCATACAAATGTAATGTTTACTTCGCATGGCGGTACACTTCCTGAATGGATTCCCGCCGTCATTTGGGGAAACGGTATTGAAGGTTTACCGGCGAATATTAGGTCAAGGATCGTGCCATCTCACCCGTTCTATCTCGTATCCAAATTAATGCCATTTTTGTCAAGTTTTTTTCTCTCATTGGACCCATCCAACTCCAACTCTTGTAGGGCACTGTTCAAGATAAAATCTATCTATTTTAATAGGATCGTCCTTTCTACAATTGTCTCACCAGATGATGGACAAGAATGCCGGTGTAACTGTCTCTGTCAGATTGCTTATATTATTCTGTTCCATGACATTTAGCAATTTCTAGAACTGACCTCACAAAATTTGCCTTGTTGAAACAGGCGCTCCTCCCCAGCTAGAATATGAGTACTTTATCAGTTATCTACTCTAATGCATTTGTGACAAAGAATGCAAAGTCAAATGGTTATATATCAGTGTGCTTGACTTTTTTGTGACTTCAAGATTTATAAGCATGTATCCATTTGCTGCCAGTCAGTTTTATTAACTCAGTAACTTCTTCTCTGGTCGATGCACTCATTACAGGCGGTGGCTTTCTTCAATTACCTCCAGTCTCTTGCTCCCTCTGAGAAGCTACGCTCGCTCTTCACAATGGCTATAATCGCGGTGGCCGGTTTGGTCTTCCTCGTTGTCTGCGGTCTTACTGTTGCTGGCGTCATCGCGCCCTGGAGTGGTCGGTACGTTCCCCATTTTTCCCCTTCTCCCCCTCTCCCTCAATGGAGTAAGTCGTGACTTTCGAATCGGCACACCGAGTACACAAGTGTTCCAAACCTTGTGCATCTGAACTCTCCCTCACCTTCAAGGGAATTATTCGTCAGGCTACCTGTATCGGCATGTTTATGTACGAAGAGGCTTCATACTCTGAATATGTAGCATTTACAGAAGAGTAAATGAACATCCACAGGCATATCTCAAACTCATCCATTTCTTAAATTGTCCAACTAAATAGAAATTAGATACTACACATGTAAAAGGCGTCATCAGTGGCGGCATCAACCATGTATCACAGCCCAAAATACTTGATTAATCTAATAACCGTCAGATCTAGAAGGTTCCACGGCTATTTTATCATTGTTAAACTCAACCAATCTGTTTGTGGTTCACTGCTTGGTGCAGTCACCGTAATCTCTCAAAGATCACCTCCCGCAGAGCGATCTCGGGTTTAGATAAGAAAATCGAGACGCCACATATGCGTGCCATCGGTGGCAAATGCTAAATTTCTTTGTTGTTTTACTTTAGTCACCAATTAATGGAGGAAAATGAGGAGTCCACGTCCACTACTCCAGGCTTGAGCAACCCCATATTTGAATACAGAAATCGGGCAGGGACTGGGTACTTCGTATTGAAGCAATAAGGGATTTTGGGGTGCGAAATGACGCGAGTTCCGAGCTCCGCACGAGTATGTCAAGCCGGATGTAGATGGCTTCAGGATAGATTTCTTGACTGTTGCAACTGGCATTTGTGTGCGTGTGCGTCAGGGTTGATAAGAGACCAATGCCGCGTCAACTATAGTAGAATATTTTGAAAAAAAGCATGAAATTGCTCTGCTATGGCCAAAATTTTTCCCAAGTATGATCTACTTTTTTACAACAGAGAGGGTTTTATGCCTGGGATGGTCTGTTTCTTCCAGCCTTTTGTGGGGGAAAATGACGAGTAAATAGTAATGACTAAACCTTATCCCTCATGGAAGTTCAGGTTCTACTCGCTGTGGGACACCGGCTACGCTAGGGTGCACATTCCCATCATCAGCTCGGTGTCGGAGCACCAGCCCACTACCTGGACGTCCTTCTTCTTTGACCTTCACGTCCTTGTTGCGGTCTTTCCTGCCGGCGTGTGGTTCTGCTTCGCGGAGCTCAATGACCTCCGCGTGTTTGCCATCCTCTACGCCATCTTCGCCTCCTACTTCGCGGGTGTGATGGTGCGACTCATCCTCACCCTTGCGCCCATTGTCTGCGTCCTTGCGGCCATCGCCTTCTCCCGTCTCTATGATGTCTACCTGAGGGATGATGCACTTGCTGGGGAGGAGAGTACTGATTCATGCAGCGGCGAGAAACAAACAAACAAGGGTGCGACAAATCCGCGGGAGAAACAGCTTTATGATAAACCTTCGAAGGCAGCTTCAGACAAGGTAAGCTGAGCGATCTCTTTCTCGAGTTATTAGGGCTTTCTTAGTTGAGTGCGCTTTTCTGGCGCAAATAGACACAATCGTTCTTCACATTACACATGGTTGAAATTTTGAATCGGCTATAATAAGATTAAACAACAATTTAACTTGAATTGGAGCATAAAATGTCCGCACTGAGACGGGCGATTTGCCTCTGAGACCTTTGTAGCGAATGTTTCCATGTAAAATGAGGCTACGCCCATCGCGCAAACTACATCGCTGAGTGTCTGCAATCAATGAAGGTTTCTTTTCCACTCTCCTCCCTGCTGCAGCATTCCCACGGCGTAGGTAGTGGCAAGAACTCCACCGACTCCTCTGATAGCGGCAATGGTGGGGGCGACGTCTTGGGCATCAGCGTGCGCAAGGTGGTGGTAATGGTGGCCACCTTCGTTCTCTTTCTCTTCATGCTCCACTGCACCTGGGTCACCTCTAACGCCTACTCCAGCCCCTCCGTCGTCCTAGCTTATCAAGGCAGCCAGGGTGAACGGATCATTCTCGATGACTTCAGGTTAGTGACCTACCCTGAGGCTTGTTCCCCTCTGAACAATTTTTATGTCTTTCTTGTTATTTAACGGAAAGGCTAAACTATTCCCCCAACTTGCTCTGGGCTTAGCTATTCGTGGGCATCTTGGTTGTGGCGGAGGTACCGTGACTGAAAATTGTAGACAGTGTAAATGAACTCGTGCACATCATCAGTGACCGGCAATCCATCCACACTCAGTTGGTGTTTTGCGTTCTCCCAATCGTGACGCTGTGCTTGGATTGTTGCAAAGGCTTCTGGCCACGCACCGTTATTTTCGTTCCACGAAAATGCGATTTCCTTTGCTCTCTTTTTTTCATTACAACATCCATTGACGCTCTTTTATCCTGTCAATGGTGCCTTTTTATTCGTGGTGTTTGGCTCCCCTTGAAAACGTTTAGTGCCTATTGCCTCCTTTCGGGTGTTTTAATTGACAGGCCTATAAAATCGCACTACCATGAGGCATTATTTCTAATTGCTGCTTTTGTAAGGTTGCATAAAGGCGAAATACATCACCTGAAATGACTTTTCGTGCGCGCAAAAGAGGAATCACAATCTAGGGTGCTGTAATGTATCGCTTTCTAGGGGAGTGCATGTGTTGTTATTCTTTAGTGTTTCGGAAGTCAGTGCTGCCAACACGCGATTCACTTGCAATCTCCGCTTTTGTATCATGCTAACACTGATTCTGTCTTGACGGGGGAACACTCATAATAGTGAGCAGACTGACTTGGCCTTGTCATTCATTTTACTACTTACATCAACTAATAAGGGTGTCAAAGCTTTCATCGTCTCACCCGAACTAAAGCCAACTTCCGTCCTCTACCTTTATCCCTTCAGGTGTTACAAGACATATCAGTCCGGAGGTAGGTTTGTTGATATCGCACAGAATTCTGAACTAGTAGATTAGGCCCTTGGAATGGTGGCTCAGGCTACCAGACTAAAAGGATCCAAATACATGAGTCTTGGCCTTTGCAGACACTCCACTGGACGCTGGCCACATCTGTTGTAGTAGTTTAGCCATTGCGACAATTCAAACTACTCAGCATACAAGCATCACCGCATATTTATGGGTGTAAGCCTTTGTAAATACTTCATTCTGCCCATTTTTATTTCTCTGAACCTAAGATGGATACCATCAACGTAAAATCTACTCGCATTCACAGGTCCAAGGCCTACCAAGCACTCCATTAGACGCTGACCGCCTTCTGCTGTATTCTTGAGTGGCCAATCAAAATTCTGACAGTTTTAATAACTTAACCCTCACGAGCCCTTCATTAGATCTCAGGGGATAACAGTTATGTGTGTGCTGTAGAGAGGCCTACTACTGGCTGTGGCAGAACACACCACCGGACGCCAAGGTGATGTCGTGGTGGGACTACGGCTACCAGATTGCAGGCATGGCGAATCGCACCACCCTGGTGGACAACAACACGTGGAATAACAGCCACATTGCACTTGTGGGCATGGCCATGTCCTCCAATGAGACGGTAGCCTTTCGGGTAGGTGTCTCCCGTCGCCTTTTTTGCCTCTGCCTATCTCATTAATACCAATTCCTGCCTTTTTCTTCCTCTCCCAGCTGATGCACTCCCTAGACGTGGACTACGTACTCATCATCTTTGGAGGAGTAAGTGGATATTCGGGTGATGACATCAACAAGTTTCTCTGGATGGTGCGCATCGCTCAAGGAGAGCACCCGAAGGACATTCATGAACAGGACTACTACACAGCTCAGGTGAGGCAGAGCTTTCCCATGCACGATTCCAATAGCATGTTTTTTCAGCCCATTTGAGACTTTTCTGTGGGTGGTGAATACGTCCCATTAACAAGCATTCATCCCCTTCACACCATACAGGGCGAATACCGCGTTGACCATCAGGTGCCAAAGACAATGGTCAACTCCCTGATGTACAAGATGAGTTACTATCGTTTTGCGGAGATAAGATTGGACCCTCGTATGCCAGCCGGCTACGACCGAGCGCGTAACACGGAGATCGGAGTAAAGAACATCGAGCTGACCCATCTGGAGGAGGCATTCACCTCGGAGCACTGGATTGTGCGCGTGTTCAGGGTCAAGAAGCCAGTCAATCGGTTGCGTGTAGCGCGTGGCGGCAGGCGGCGTAGCAGCTCTCGCAAAACAGCCTACGATAGACGGGGACTGGTTGGTTCTCGTGCACGCATCATCAAGGGTACTAGGCCTGTTAATCCCTCTGCTCCGGCGCTGTGACGATATTTGTTCTCCCCTTTTTCTTCCCCAAGTAGGTTGGCTTTGCCTCTGAAAAGTTTTTAGCCTTGATGGAATAGATGATTTGATTTCTTGTTTTAGGTGAATATCGTTTGTTTGCTTGTATGTGGTGTTGCTTTGGTAAGGTCCCTCTTTCTCTGTGAACCCCCAACGGTTGGCCCATTGTACTAGCTACACAAAGCGTTGCCTCCTTTCCTCTCTCCCCTTCTGTCACCTCTGTTTCTATGTAAAGGAAACTCGTTAGTTTTTCTTAAGAAATGTTTTGTAATGATTAACTCCTGGAAAAAATGGCTCATTTTGGGCTAAATGCGTGAGTTGGTACGCAGTCTAACTATGAGTTGACCTACATGGTCACCTAAACTATCGAGGGCTGCATTATTACCGCGGCATGGCCTTCGGGTTATGCTGGTAGCCTTGCAGCCCTACTATACTGTTTGGCTTACCAAGACTTCGAAGAGGCCTCACTAAGCCAGGGCGAGGTCTTTGTTTATGTCGACTCTAGGGGAGTACAAACGAGGCACCGGTCTTTGAAGCCTTGGGAGGCTGCGATGATGCGATCTTAAGGTAACGATCGCTGATGTCACGATCAGTACCGAAGTGCATGCAATGAGGTCAGCGCTAAGGTCATTTGAGCAGCAAGAGTTTAGTAAAGACGAGGAACGGTAGCGAAACGCGACAAGCTAGATTCTGTACCTCATTTCCTTCCTGAGGCTGTAATAAGCCAAGGTACCATGAAGAACATGCAGCGCCAGCGTGCAAATGGGCTGGAAGGCCCTTGGCATGACACGAAGGCTGCGCCCCAGGGCAAATGTAAAGACTGCTCGAACTCAAAGGTTCTTGTATTTAAACAACTGCCCAATCGCTGCAGTAGTTTCATTTTTGTTTTAATCTATATCTAACCAAACAGGCTCCTTAGCCCACTCGGCTGCTATGCCCTTAGGGCCATTCCTACGGATTCTCAAGCCTCATGTTTGCAAATAACAGGCTACACTAAAGTAACATACCATGTCACGACATTTGTAATGACCTTTTGTGCTAGACCGACGGTTAGCGACAAGGTTGCCTTAGTCACTTCATTAAGATTTTGCCAGTAACGAATGCACGAATCATTAGTCTATGCACTTTTAGCGCGGATAGCATAGAAGGCGATTAGAGGATTTGCAAATACAATATTTGGGCGAAAAAGTTTAGTCCATTCTATTAAATGACTACTAAGTGATTTTTCAGGTCATTGTTTTATCTTACCACCAATACACTGTAGTATTTTTTGTGGATAATTCGAGCGTTTGAGGGTGAGGTGGTGTTGGGGCTGTTTGACGAAGAAAGGTAAATCGTTTTTTCTTCGGAAAATCTAAGTATCGTCGGTTAGCGTCTGTAATTAGGTAGTGGCTTCCAATCGTGACGATTTTAAAGCTCTGTTGCATGCGCAAAAGCTAGGTCTTCTTATAAGTTGCTCTCTGTCGTTGATTAGTGTCTTTTGGTGGTAGGTCTGTTGCCTGGCTGTAAAATGTTCTTGCATACTCAAATGTTTCAAATGTGCTTTTTCTCTCGCCTCTTAGGACTTCAAACTGAATTCGTCACAGGAAGATTTATTTGTTGACCAAAGCAAATCTCTCTGTCTGGATGCCTTCGGCGGATCCTTACCTGAGATTGAACGTGAAAAGTACCAACCTCAACATCTCTCATTCTGTCACCACTTTTCTTCCTCAAATCTTTCTATCGATGTCTCCGTTTCTTTGAAAGACAGTAATCATGAAAGACACTTTTTGTACGAGTTTAAATCGGTTGGCTGTCACGGGAAGTATGCTTTAGTTGTTCACTTAGTTTTACCCTTTTTCTAGATTTTCTTTAGTTGTTTCCAAATTTCGTGGTGTTGACTTTCCACCACCGTTCGCTGCATTGCTTCTCTCCACAAAATTAAATGCACCAACCTCAAACGAGTATCCGATAAGTACTGCGTTTCTGAAACGAGTAACGGGCCTTAACTCGCATGAAGTCATTGTCTTTGGCGTTGCTGACGGCTCTCTGTTTGCCCTGTCTACGACAGAAACCTCAGAAATTAAACGGATTTCTCATTTCCCATCGCCTTATCCCATATCGGACCTTTCGGTGCTTTATCATGTTCCCTCCCCAGAGATGAACAATGTTGATGGAGACATTGATGAGTGTCTGATTGCCATCACCACAGGTGGATTACTCGCTGCTTGTTACTTAAACGCTGATCAGTAAGTCCGTAGTCTTCCCTATGCCATAAGCCGTCATATTTTTACATTTATGTAGACGGAATTTAAATTGTCGTAAATCTTATATGATTCTTGACCCAGTTTCGTCGATGTTTAAGTATTACGGGTGCGAATTCTTACTCGTTACCCCTAACTTGATCATCTTACACTAAGCTTGATACTATCAGAATCTATGTGTGTTCAATCTATGTGTTAAATTGCATTTTATAGTGTTATACTGTTGTTTGGATTGGTTCTGACAGTTTCGTTTTGTCTTGTGAAAGTTTTTGGACATTTATTTGGTAATTAGCTAAGGCTTGCCGGTTTTTCCAGCCTCAAGCGCTTTTAGTGTTTCAGTGTGTAACTCTTCCAAGTTTCTTGGTTCGTGTGAGCCGATAACTTTGCTCTTGGAGTAGGCGAATGTTTTACTTTGCTTATATTGTCTTCTAGAACCTAGATTTGGCTATTTTTATGACCATTACATAAGACCTTATGATGCATTATTATTCAACACTTCACCAATCACTAGTCTCAAATTGCAGTTTTATCTAAAATTATTTTGCTGGATATGATGTATCCTTGCTGTGAGTTGACTTGTTTCCGTAAATTGAGATGCTCGCTGACAATTCTGCTGAATCTCTCACCAATAGCTGTTTGAATACTACAGAGTGAATCAGTCAACTATTGAGTGCTTTCGTTTTCCTTTTATTGCCGAATCTTTAAAACCGGCTTAGTTAACAACAGGAATACCGTCTTTCTTAGGGTTTCATTAGCACAAATTTAGTATTTCAATCAGTTTTGATTGACACCGGGACAGAACGACTTCACGGTTACTTCACATTGCCCTTAATCAAATCATCTAGATAAATAGGCATCGCGGTTGTGTTACTTTGGTTATCCTCCTTCCTTAGGGAACGCCAACTGGTTTACTTCCGCCTGCCGCCTCACTCCCCGCACAGCCGCCTTAGCTGCACTCCCTTCGGCTCCTGGCTGCATATCCTCGCGTCCGATGACGGTTCTCTACTTTCCCTGTCGTTCAGCCACACCGGTAAAAAGGTGCTAATCTGCACACCGGCCATCTATCCCCACAAGCCCAGACGACACGTGCCCCTGTACATTCCACGCGACTTGAACACATCGGAGGAGGCGGCAGTTGTGGACCTGAGTATCGCCAGGTCTGCTGGTGAAGTTAATCGAGCGCTGAGGTGGCGACGTCTTGACATTATGGAGGTGGTGAGGCTGTCAGGTTTGTGTTGAAGTGGTGGATATGGGGATTTGACTTTTTTGGCTCCCCCCGGAAAGGATCTCAGTGGTCACGAAAGTTCTTATTTTTGGTAGCCCAGGACCGTTTTGGAAGTTCAGAGGTTAGTATAGCACAACGTCTGACTTTTCTAGTTCCGTTTCAAACATTGATTAAGCGCTTGTGGTAAATTGTGATTGCCGTGTGCGTAGACAAAGCGCAACTTACCTTGAGAAGGTCTTCTTTTAGCCTAGGCAATTCTTCGCCTTTTTATGAGCGGTCTACAAGCATGCTTCAAGAGTGTCACGTTGTTTCAAAGTGACTTCCGAGTTAGTCCTTGGGATGTGAAGCGCGCGAGTTTGGAAGTAAACTTGTTGAAAACTTACAAGGGGGTCAGGCGACTAGTAGCACAGCTCCAGTGGATAGGTTAGATTTCTGGGTCTGGAAAAGCCCTTGAAATGTACGCTATTTCGACTACCCTTCTTTGTTGTCAATCTCCACGCATTCGGCTCAACAGTGGATACCTTCTAGTGGTTTTTTTGGGTTGTGAAGTGAACCTAGATGGTTTGAGGTGTTTTATTCTGCAAAAACTCGGTGATTCGTTACAATTTCCTCTCAACTATTTTTTAGGCGGTCAGCTTGCTGCAGTACACAGGGAAACGGGAGAGCGGCTGCGACTCACCGACTACATCTCCAAATACGAAGAGGTAGAAGCAGAGGTAGATACGTTGACGATACAATCTGTGGAGACGTTAAAAGCTGACATCGTCTTTCATCGCCTGTATCGAGCTATCGTTGAGGCAGTTTTCAAGGGAACCACCTCTGAATCTCCTCCTCTCTTGAAATCGAGTGTGGAACTGCGTGCCCCTGAAGATCTACCTGGATTCCGTAGCTCTGAACACCCTGTAGACTCTGCTCTGGTTCTCATTATGAAAATCGCCATCTTGGTGAGTCATTGCTTTCGTGGGCGATTTAAAACAGTTTATTTTCTATTTTTTATGGCTTTTGAACTTTTATATTACTGCTCTCGGAGCATCATTCCATTCTTTATGCTCTGTCTAACCTTTGTGTTGAAGCTCTTTTCCCTGCTTACTTAGGCTCCTGTTGATGATATCTCCAGTTTATCTCTTGATGAATGGACCGACTTCAAGGCGCTTCCACCTGCAACACTTCATCAATTGCTTCTAGGCGACCTCGGTGCATTTCGTCCTTCCTTTGCATCCCAACTGTCTCGCCTTCGAGACTGTGTGAGCGTCGTCACTGAGGTTCGACCTCTCGGCGTCTCCACTGACCTCACTCACACTAACATCGAAAAGTGGGCTGCCTTTGGTGTTGTCGATCACGTTCGCCACACCGCTTGTCCTCTTCCTGCTTCCCTCTTCGACGGTGGGAGTAGCTTTAAAGTGACAATCTCGGTCTACCTTGAACTGGCACCCTTGAATTCCCTCATTCCCACTCCGTTGAGACGCGATCTGTACTGTCGAATAAGTACCGCCCTTGATTTACTTCGACCCCAAGCCTTCACTGCTGCTCCTCCATCCAGCGAATGCTATATTCTTCCTGTTCGTATCCCCAGGCACGCAGAGTTGATGCCGAGATTTAGGGGTAGGCAAAGTGCATCACATTGTTAAATCGGATAGATTTATTTAGGTCTCACGGTTTCTTCCAACAAGAGGGCAATGCTCAGAGCTTCCGCTATCTCACCCTTTACCCTGAGGTAGAAGTTCTCCTAGAAATCCATGATACGGGCTTCAAGATCACTTCGTCGAACTTGAGAGCGGTGTGGAGCCTCTACGAAGCCCTCCAACATTACATTAAAGAGTTTACCATGAATGCGAGTGAATCTGTAAGCGCGCACGACTTACGCATGGAGCTTGCAGTCCTGGAGGTGAGTTTTAAAGGCTACTAACTTCCCACTTTAGGCCCTGGAGATGGAACTGACGAAGAGCCAAGGTGCACTGGAAGTAAAGGCTCTCTTGGATATCTACGCCTATCTGCGAAATTGCAAAGCCTTTAGTCTATTCACTTCGTTGTTCAAAGACAATAAAGACCCTTGAGTGGATGTGTGCTTTCTTTTTTTTGATCCACCACCCTCCCATCATTGCATCCTACAGCGAGAGTTTCCTTTTAAACAAACTGGCCATAGCTGGATGGTGATAGCCGAAGGTAGGTGTCTTTGACTAAAAAAAGCATGCATGCATCTGCTGTAGGCGTTGAAATCACGGAGGCAAATGTACCTGCTCTGTGCGAGGCGGTATGGAAAAGCCAAGTGAGCTATCGCCTTTTGGAGAAAGTCAACGCTGAGATTGTGGAGCTACTGGAGAGGGTACTATCTGCCCATCCTCTTGATAGTGCAAGTAAGATCCGTTTGTGTAGATGACCAAAACACCGGAGTCGCATCCGTCCTTGTCACTTAATCACCGAGCCTACTTTTCGTCCGTTGAGGCGAGACCAGTTAAAGTGTGGCGCTGAGTGACTTCTGTGCTTCTTGAATCATTACAGATTTGGAATCTTTTGCTGAGGCGAAGTTTACTTCCTTCACACAGTCCTCCTCACAGTGGCGACTTCTCTTTCTGCAGGTTAGTTTCACCTGCATCTTTTGAACTAATTTTAGTTGAATCAAATGAGGCGAACTTAAAAAAAGGTTACAAAGGTAACTGCCAATAATAAGTAGGGGCGAGGGATCACGGCGGACACTTTTTTGGTCAAGTTAGGAGTGTTATTCTTCTTCCCCTTCACCAGATGCTGATAACACTCCCTGGTAGTGCTCTTCTCGCACCGCTGCGAAATCGACTGTTCCCTTCCACTGCCACCATCACTACCTTCAGCTTGGAAGTGCTATTGGCTCTTGTCTCCACCGTTACGATTTGTTGCAAGGGGGGAACCCTGCTGATCTCAGGTACCGTTTGCTTAGTTGTCAAACAGGCTGGGTCCGCAACTTTGTGTTTTCCTAACCGTTACCAACTTTTCCCCATCTTTTGCAGACATGCTTCATGACCTCCTCGTCCAAATCTTCTCTTCCACCTGGCTGCCAGAAGCCAAAATCACCTCCCCTAAAAAACCTCCCAACCTCGTTGCTTTGTTGGATGACTCCTTTTCCTCCTCTCAGCAGTCACCTTCAACCGTCGTCGACCCAGTGGATTGGCGGTTTTGTCAACTGCGTCATACCCTTCTCATCGCCCGCCAACTTGCCACCGAAGACCCGCGTGTTACCTCCTTCTCCTACTCCCAGTGGTGGCGTGAGTGCTTTTCCGCCCCACCCGATCAGGCTGGTGTGCTGGCCACACGTCGAAGCCTCGAGTTCCTAGCCACTAATCTGCTCCGCCTTCTGCCTCATGAGATGAGCGCAATCTACCTTCAGACACAACTGACTGCGGCGTCACCCTTCTGGCTGGCTTCCAGTGACCCCCAGGAGGAGTGCTGTCGGGCCTGGAGGGAATATGCGGACGTGGGCCGGGACAGACTGGCTGAATTGAGGGTGGGTGCTCTAATCGCTCGGGTTTAAAGTTTATTGGGAGAGGTGGGTTTAGAGATCTAGAGGTAGGGAACTAAGCCAGTAAGTTGAGTGAAGGAATGACTGAAGAGTTGAGCGGGCAAGTGACTAACAGATGCAAAAGACTTTTATTACCAACTTGACTGTTTCCATTCTGCCACCGCCTAGATGCAGCGAGTCAGCGCATTGCCGGGAATAGATGCTGACTCCGCAGTATTGAATGTATGGTCGGATGAGGCGTCAGCGTTGGTGAATGAGTTCACAAGAGCCATGGTGAGAGCGGCGAAGGCGTCCTCGACACCAAAGGTTCCGACGGCAATCGTGGAGATGCACTTATTTCGGGGTCAGCACTTGCGCGAGGTGGTGATGCCAATGTTGCGCGCGCCCCCGCCCACCTTGCCAGCCGACCAGCGTGCAGTGTGTGCGGCACTTGTGCGCTGCATCGAAGCACGCTTCGGCGGTAGTGTTAGTGGTTCTGGCAGTAGCTGTGGTACCACTCTGATGGAGAGGCGAGCACCAAATGTGCGTGTTGGAAGGTCGGGTGGGAAGAGGGCGAGAGTGAAAAAGTAACCTGTATGCATGCATGTTGTGAAACAGATGTTTTTGACGCTAGTGATGACTTCCGCCGTCTTTTGGGTGAGGGCACACTGATACCGGAATAAATAGCAATCACTTTGTAGTCACTAGGACTGTCAGCAGCTGATATCTTTGGCAGAGGCTCGTGTTTCTTTGAGATGAACACATTCCGGCTCACAATAGTCTCAGTCGATTCGGAAGCCTTTACAAGGCGTGTGAGCCCATAAACAGCTTTGTTAAAGGCTGCGGACGGGCTTGTGATCGAAATCAGTATTCTCTAGTCGATGTAAGTCGTGGCAATTCACTCGGAAATCCAGGCCACCTTTTGGAGATAGTATGCCTTTCGATCACGGTGATATTGATGGGCCGCGAGGCACGCTGAAAAGACTGAGGAATTAGAAGCATAGATGTTGTGTTCGAAATCTCCGCACCGCCGTTGTAGCGATCAATTTCCAAGAACTCGAGAAAGTCCATTTAACTAAGTATATGGGAGGAACATCCTCTTATTGTATCAACTCTATCCAGTAGAAAACGCAGGTCCCAAGGAGGTTGAGTTGAAAACCTGTCACTTGGAACTACCTACCGAAGACTAATGGACACATCTGCTAATCTGGCCGGTGGCCTCCAAACATCAGCCTAAGGTAAACATCTGAGATGCATGTAAACTACGATGACCTTCGTCAAGGCACGCGGAAAAATACTGGGTCAATTTTTAAGGAGGACACAGACACAAGATTAACTAACGAAGTGGAATCTTCTACAGCACCTTGAGTCCTCTCCTACCACTAGTCGGAACCGATATTTACTAATAGACAAGTCATTAGTGGACATATTGACGAGTTCTGAGCGGGAAAAAACTCGTTTCTTCCAACTTTAATGGAGATTTCAACTGCCCACTCCTCCACCGACCCCACGAAGGCAAAACAGGAGGTACACACACGCACGAGTACTTTTTTACAGACCACGAATGTTGCTTACATACAGGAACTCACACCCACACACGAGTATGGATACAAATGGGCCCTCACAGCGCCTTGAGTCTCTTCCCTCCACCAGTCCCGCCGGCTTCTGATTCCTCATCCTCCTCGGTGGAGAGAAAGCGCCGCTTATAGGCAGTGTTCATGTAGGGTCGGAACACCCACTCCACCTCCGCTGTGTCCTCCTCGTGCAGTGGCCCTCGCCAGATTTTGTACACTGCCGGAAGGAAAGAAGTCTATGGTGAAAGAATATGCAAATGGACCTCCTCGTGACCTCTCCCCTTGAATGGGTTAAATTTATGTTCTGATTGACTTAAAGGGATTGTCCAAGGGGACCTGCCAGACCTTTCGCACTGTCCAGAGAGAGAAGACAAAATACCTTCACGGAACGGCGCAGTAACTTAAAAACGCACGCAGGTGACATCCAGTCCTGTTAATCTCCCCTCGTTACTGGTATTTCAACACTATCTTGATAATGTAGCTGTCAACTAGAATGTCTTAGCACTCCCAGGGATACATTTGATACCCCATAGGCGGCAGGGTTGACAAACTCACTCCAAAAGAAGAAGCATCCCCAAACACGGCAATGGTAGCGATTTAATAGTTTCTGTCTAATGAGGCTGTGTAAAATAAAAGGTGGAAAAAACGTACAGCGCATGTCGAAGCGGGGCCCGTGTTCCTCAACCTCCAATTCCCTGTTAACGTACTTGTAAGTGTGATGCCTTAAGAAACATCAAAGACAGTTAAAATAGCATTTTAAGACATGCAGTTTCAAACCACTACGAGAGAAATCGTTGAAGACACCTCAACAGTGAGGCGACTCCAGTTTCCACACAAAAGGATCGACAAGGGACAAGTGCGATCCGACTTATGCGGACCCTTCAGTAAATGCAACTGATCAGAAAGTACCACTGGGAGGAGGATTTCGTGGTGGTAACAAGTTAGACCTCTCCTGAAATTGCTGGTCATGAATGTGGAAAACTAGACCCACCTCTAAGTGGATGGTCAAACCATCACGCCAGAGGAAACTACACTCATCGACGAAAATAAATTCGAAGAATACAGCTGTAAAAATTAATCAACTCCTTTATCTCAAGGAAATTAGAGTGCTGTGATGTGAGGCGATCAGAGCAACCCCACTCATTACCTACATTCGCCTAATGCCTACCGCAGTCAGTAAGACACCTAGCGAGAATGAGGCAGAAGTATGCAGCTGAGATCACTCTCCTGATCCAGTCCCAAAAGACGTCAAATCAAATCAACAAGGCAGGAGTTCTAAGAGGGATTCCATAAAACAAATAAAGCAATATTAAAAGGGTCTTTTAGTTGGAACGAAACAAACTGTTCTTGACGAGGTTATTCAAAGAGATGGACAGATGGAACTACATTGGATCGGATGACCAAGTTATCAAATCACCGTAAGAAAAAGAAATAGTAAGAATTCACCTAGTGAAGTGGTTTTTCACCGCCAGATTTCACAAAGGTCGATCAAACGAATGAAGGATGAAATACTCTACTATACCCAAGGCCTACAGAAGAAGCAAATTGATAAGAAAAATACCAACGCAAAGGCCCTTGCGGAGGGAGCAAACTGAACCTCCAAGTCTGTTACATACGGACTAGCAAAGTGAAAACCAATACGACTTAGCGGCTTACCTGAATCGGATGATATCTTCATCCTCATACCACACCACTACCCGTTTCGTCTCCTCCTTGGGCACGGGAAAGAGGTGTTTGAGGATGCAACGCACCCGTCTGCCCAAAGCCGTGTTAAGGCCGTGGAAGAGATGCTGGGGATAGGCCTGGGGACACTTGGCCCCACTTCCACGCCCCTTCTCTTCAAAATCGTGGCGCATAAGCACATTGAAGAGGGTGAACTTGGCTGTTGGACCGAAGGGCAAGTGACTTACTATCAGAGTATCCGGAACGCCACGGGTCTCGTTTATCACAATCATATCAGTTATCTGCCAAGCAGAGGTAAGAATGAGACTTTCAGCATTGGTTTTATGCCCGATTATGCGGACCCTTCCAGCTGCCTAAGATTTGGACCAATATTATCAGTCCCCTAGTCTCTCGGCGGGTTCATGCCAAAACACACTCGCAGGGAATGGGTGGAGCTACAGAAAGACTAGGGTCATCTCGGCGTTTGGCAACGACTTCATTCTGGAGTTCTACTTAAGGACCGCCAATCTTATGATCTCATTTCTTGCAGCCCAGAGGCTCATCGCTAAGAGGGCGAAGCTCAAAAGGACGAGGTTCGTAATTCGATAATGTAATCATGCCTCCAGCCTGCCAATCTTATGCGTTTACGGTAAAGGTGCTTCTGAAGTGATATACTATACATTAGTAGCGACGTTAACTCGCTAAGAGGATAAAGGAGTTTGATTTAAGTGGTTGAACCTGCAGAGAGGAAATTAAACCGGAATCTCAGCCGGAGAGACAGATTGGGGCAGAACCCAGATCTGATGATGAATGTTGAATGCATTGTATTTACACCTCGTTAGGCCTCCAATCAACCTACTTCCCCACCACCTCAACCGAAAATTTGGATTTCCTCCTCTCTCTCCCAGATAAACGAAACTTTAACGCTACCGACTCCTGAATCTTCTATGTATTTATAACAGAATTTCTCTCACTCCTTTGTCCTGATTGCGCACATGGGGTTGAAATGCTGTCAGACATTGAAGAAGTTACTAATAAATGGGGCGTTTAAAGTTTTTTGGGATATTGAGAGTGAAATGCGCAGAACTCCGGCGACAATACAACATAATCCAGCATGGTCCTGGGATTCTGTAAAAGCTGGAAAATGGACACAATACGTAGAACTATCACTATGATGGCGAACAGATTCGCGCAGAAAATAGTATCAGAAAACAGAAGTTATGACTCTTGTTTTAGTCATGGATAAATACTAGTGATAAATCAGAAAAGCTTTAACGACCCTCATTCCCAAAGTGTGAATCTATGTTCGCACATCTAGAAACCATGCAGCATCTTAATAAAATCGCCCAAAACACATATAAGATGGGTACTTTGGAAAGAATGGCATATTCAAAACCACAAGATTCACTTGCCTGTCGAGCCATGCACGCATCCATTAGGTCCTTTGTCAGATAGTTACCTCGATTAATTTTAGTGGCGTTGGGAATGAGGTGACGCAATTCCTTGGAGAATTCCTGGAGTTTTGAGCTGGGGGACCTAGATGTGGTGACAACAACTCGAGGATCCTCTGTGCCCGCCCAGTAGTATTCATCGTCCTCTGCCCTAAGATCACCCTCACCACCATCATCGCTCCAATCCAGGTCTTCATTCAAGGCCAGCGCCTCGTCAGCGATTTCCTTGGGGAGTTTTCGCCCTTCCGCTAAACTAGCTTTAATAAGTTGCCTCTTCTGCTTTCGGGCCTCATCACGAGCTTCAATGGAGCGTCGATAGATGAATTCTCTGCGTAGTCGTGCCTGACGCTTAAGCTAAATTAATTCATTGTTGATTTCAGCTTCACTTTTAAATACTTCAGGACTTATAAGGGCAATAAACACTAAAAAAACCAGCAGTCATAGGAGCTTTCAGGTAGGGGATCAGCTAATGAATCAATGCAGATGCTCACCTATATCCACTTACCATGTGGGTAAAATGGATGCAGATAATTCACACACATATGTTTTATTGGTTTGGTAGGTTGTTCAAACAACTGTCATTGTACCAAAGCTAATCTCTGCAAGGAAAAAGATCCAAACGAAAATAGTTCTTACATTTCTAAGTTCAAAGATTCTTTATTGTTTTTTTTTTCACCACTGCAGTAATAACATGCACTAAATGCTTAAATATTTTAGAGAAACTAGTTTAGTAGTGTTTATTTTTCGTTGGCGAATTGCCGGAACTTCTCTAACTCGAAATCGTTTTATAAGTGCCTATTTACCACTTTCGATTGCTTAAACTCATCTAATATGTAAGCCAGCTATTCTTCGTCCGACGTGAGCGAAGCGGGAAATGTTTCGATTTCTGCCTAAGTGCCTATTAGTCTTAAAATACTCCCCTTCCCACCGTGTGTGATCGTTGTTAGAGTGAAGGCGAATTCTTTAGGGAAAGGGGTGCTTTGCAACGGATTCTGCCCCCCGCTACATTCCTGTTTGCACACCCTTAGAACAAGTAGAGGTGAACATTTTTCATTCAAAAATCATGGTAAATATTTACTGGTTATTGGAGTCTAAAGGGAGTAAGCCTTTATTTCTGTGGTTGCTTTTTCAAACTAGTGCACTTCTACTCAGTGACTACTTTCAGGCTGTTCAAAGGAAATAATGTAAGGCTTTTATGCTTGGTTCTTCATTTGACAAAGTAAATCACTCGTCGTCGGCCTAATGCCTTGCCGCTGTTCGGGTGCTTTCAAGATCTGTCTTATCACACATATTCTGATGTAGCTTTTAAGCGTCAATTAAATTTAGGTTCCACTGGTATCTGCTGTTTTCGCTATGGTCCTACAAATTATATCATCGTAGACGAGTCGTCTGTATTTAAGGATTGCCAGTCACTACATTACTACGTTAATATTTCATCTTACTTTAATCGTTTTTTGTTGCTTAAATGACCAACTAATGTAGGTTCCTTCAAAAATTTAAAGAAGGAATTGGCCTCAATTTTATATGCGTATTTAATCCTTTTCAGCAAATTTACGCTACACTCAAACTAGACGACTGCAGACCACTGTGTCTGGGAGCTCAGGCTGCGCAAGGCGTCTTTGCTGAATCAGAATTTTGCCCAGCAGACAGGCCAACTCTATTAATCTCCCGGTCTGAGTGCTCATTTTTATTAGTCTTGCACATTGCCAATTTGCCTAGTCTAGACTTTGGAATTGTCTCACGAATCAGTCGGATGCTCTAAGACGTTATTTAGTCATTTGCATGACACAAATGGCATCCGTCTGATCTAGTACTCTCCAGTTCGCTTTGTCCGAGGTTCGCAGTTTTTACAACGTCCTCACTTCTAAGGCCTGTCACAAAAAATTGGGCTTTAGTTTAAAAATTTATCTGACAAACTAAAGGCACACGCAATGCGTCCCATTCACTATTCGCGTATTCCGATTGAAAAACCGCGTTTGCATTTTTCCACCTCACCCCGACCCTGAACTTTCAAACCGAAAAGGCCAGCTAATAAGTCATAAAACTCGAAATGCAAAAAAGGATCAATTGGGAGGAAAGAGGGGTAACAGCTTCCAAAACAGCATCAGTGATGGGGGGTATGTGGAAGGAGGTTTGAGCCCCCTCACTTGCAGCCACATGATCGAACTACCATATCAGGCCGGTGATTTAACACTACCCGGTTGTCTGTCTGGAAGTAGAGCATCGGCAGTGCCTCCAACTCATGCGGCACACAGCAGGGCGATGGCACTTGCTGCGCTGAAGCACCGGAGGCACTGGTGGACGTGAAGGTGGCAGTTTGGAGGAAACGAGACCAGACACTTTGAAGCACCGCATGATTGGTCGGATGGGCTTCCTGACCCAGAGGGAAGGTGCAGGCACCGGTGCAGACACCAGCATCGAAGGTGACAGGAGCAAGGATCCAGTCGGTCATGTTGAGTTGCGCAAAGCTTACCACCATCTTCCTCCGTCGGCAGTAACGTCTTGGAGGGCGGTTCTTCATAGTTACGGTTGAATGCCTCTTTGTAAATTGGACCTATGTAGATTGAATGTACATAGTAAGCTAATCTACTGCCTAATAAATGGTATTTGTTTAAACCTCCTACTTCAAGGTCAGTAACTCACGGTGTTTCTCTTGGACCTCTGCAATGCTGGTTGAATGACCTCGGATTTGGGTCGAGGGTATTCGTGCATGTACACCCGGGTATAGCGCCACGGATCATTGCGCAGGAAGTCCTGTGCTAAATCGTCGTTTTCTGCGGAGAAAAAGCCCAATTCATTATGGGAGCCTCTTAGCTAGAATCGGGTTTATGGCGCACTTGGGCTTAAGTGAAGTGTTGGGAAATGTACTACTAAATTCAAGTACATAGGCAATGAGCTGTAAGAGGGGAAAATTTTGTATCCAAAAGAGTAAGTTGGACCACAATTTAATTATCGTAAGCGTGTTTCTACTTTCTATGGTATACTGTCTTTATTTTTCCGGGACAGCGTTCGTGCCAGAATCAGCAGTATGATGATGACAAAGATCCATAGGCTTATGCATAAAATCCAACAATAATACATCAAGCCATCACCACGTGGTCACATAATCAACTACGAAATGATTCATCTTTAGGTAGTAATTACCCAATCTTCTGTTTATTTTATCGTTTGAAGTGGTGTGATAGCTCGACTTGGCCGTCCAATCGCGGCAGTAGACAATGAGACAGGGCTGCAGACGTCCAGCGTTATGGAAGTATCGTTGGACGAAGTTCAACTCTTGTCGGTCTCGAATGGGTGTCCTGTTACTGTAAGTCGCTCCCACGATTAGCCCTAAAACATAGATGAGGCAAGTAGATTCGCTAGAAGACTCCTCAGGAGAGTTCTTGTGGTTTCGGCATAGCCCTCCGAAAGGACCTGTTGGATCATTTCCAATATACATGCGATTTGTTGATCGCATTAGAATGCAGAGAAAGAGGTCAGTCTATGGTAATGGTGGTTTCTAGCGTACCCTCAACGACTTTCACCTAGTTCTGAAGCACCTACCCGTAACGTGTCAAAAGAATGAACCTGATGTCTGTGGCTCAAGGTTTTGTCAATGAATCTCCCCACGATGAAGGCGTTGCGGTTTCTCTAACCACAGGATCCACTTCATTGGATTTTGCTTTCATTGTTAATGAAGATTTAGAAAAAAAGTATCGAAAAAACTTCCCATATTGTTTAACACCAGTATCGCTGGCTTAATTCATTTGCGCTTATGCCAACAGAGAAGGGAAAGCCGTGGAAACTACGGAAGTGGGTTCCACATTGTCATGCATTTGTATGTGCCGGTTAGCTCCAAGGACACTTTTACACCTGGGTTAAAATAGTTCACCGTTTGTATGGGTTTATTAGCTGACAGATATCATCGTGAAGCGAACACGCCTATTGTTAGTTATCCTCGAACGATCTACACACCACCTCACACTTCACCGACACGCCACACTTAATCGTCAGACGATTGCACTTTGGAAGTATGACGAACTGTTGTCGAGCTGTCTAGTTGAAATTTTTTATCAAAGGCCAAATAATGATGACTGACATCTATCTGCTCGAGACAGCATGGCTCGAAGGTACAGAAGGAAGACTGCCGCTTTGGACACTCTCAAAACTTGTGGAATCTCCCATCACAATAATTACGTCATATCCTTAAATTCGTCCCATTTCTTAGGTGGTATTTCCCTCAGGCGACGATTGGCACCTCTTCATGGATTTAGAATAAGAAAATGGCAAGGTCACGTGCAAAAAGGAGTAGACATTTGCTGAATAAAAGTACAATAAGATCGAAGACCGTCGAAGAGAAGACAAAGAGGAGGTGACTTTTAGAAACAAAATGTTTTATAAAGCGGTAATGTAATACATTGGTTGTTTGTTCAATGGTCCTGGTGGAGGGCCTCTTTGTCTTGGCCCTTGTGTCTCTCCGGGTACGCTGGCCTCCATGCCATACCAGCACCTCCAATACCTTCTGTATGTCGGATATATATATTCTGCCAGGGTATTATGTCTTCCTCTGTCCTCAGGGAAGTCTCGGTGCGCAACTTTAGTGGCAGTGGAAAGGGAACCCGATCTTAAAGGTCATCCATAATGGTTTCTACTGCTAGGTGATAAACGTTGGCGGGGCGGGAAAAGTGCATATGGTACGGATGGGAGAATCGGTGATGACTAATAACAGGAGGGCCAAAATTGATATCTGCCTTCTGGATCTACCCCGCCCCCACATTCTGCAGGAAAGCTATTAACAACTGAAGTGATACTAGCTGTAAACCATCTGAAATGGTTTTATTGCGGAGTTTCCCTGCCGTTGTTGGCAAGGTGAACTCGCAATACCTCTTCCACGCCCCCACAAGCTGGAGAGAGACCGGATAGAAATAACTGGGCAGCTTCAAATAAAGAACAGCGTACAAAGGGAGAACAGACGCGAAACCTGTGTTAACCCCCTTCCTTTCTTACATAAATCGTTTTTAGGCTAGTGCTCTTACATTAATCTATGAAAACAAATGATAGCATGACTCCGGATCCCAAGCCGTATGAAATTCTAGATAAAGTTGAACCGGAAAGAGAGATCAGTGACACTGTGGTCAGGTGTCTCCACAGACTCGGCTTGTAATGTTTTCTTACAGCATTGACTTTCATGTGATGGCTGACGCGGGAGGATGAGGGTGTATGGAATACGTTGGCTGTCTGTCTAACGGTCGAGCATACAGAGGGTATTATGTCTTCCTCCGTCCCCAGGGAATCTCGGGGTGCTATATCAACCTCATTTGCCTTTTGTTTGGTTTGAAAATGGTAGCGTAATATTATGCAAATTAATTTATTAGATAAAAATGATAAATCGGATTTCTACAAATGCTAAATTTATACTGTAAAACACTAATGCGGTGTTTACCACTTGCCGAACGATGCTGGTACGCGGTGAATAGATTCCTTCCATATCACGGGACTTTGGCTATTGTGAAATACCTACCTTCATTTTTAAAATGCCACACTTTTCTAAATCATCATTTGTTGCTCAAACCTCTACATCAAATTATTGATAATTATGTTTTGATGGTAACTTATTAGTCTCAAAATTTATGCAAGTGTAATGCTGCATTTCCAAGAGATTCTCCCTAATGCGGCGCACTGTAATTTCTCGCAGAGAATAATGTCAGTTCTTTTACTTCTAAATGCTAAAATCACCCCCACCAGTGAAGTGGTATGCGTTGTTTTTTTCAAGTAAAACTTCGTTGTTTAATGTGAAGGCGGCAATTGGAATAGATTGAGTAAAACCGGCATCTGCTGTCCATTTCAAGGTTTTCGGCAGAGGTCCAGTAGTTTACAAATAAAATAGTTTTTTAAGTATTTGCACCCATTTTATGCATAATTACGCCCCCTTTGTCAATATAAGGATTAAGAAGAATCCTAATATCCATTTTATTCTAAGTCCCGGAGAGTTTACATTGACAAACCGAACGGGCTCGGTTTACTGGGCCACCAAAAATGCCTTCCACGAGGCTATCAAGTCTGCCTATATTACATCTACCGAACAAATTACCAAATAAGTTATCGTAAAGAAGTAAAAAGAAAACATCAGTTGGTTTTGATGGACCAACCTTAGGCATGCATACCACTTTGGGGACAATATAAGCAAATAAATGTCTTCAGCAATGAAGGATCTCTCCAAGCATAAAACCTATTAGGATTATCTATTTATAAGGAAGCTACCCTCTGATTATACGTCTTAAGCAATTGCAGAGACAATGGTGGAAAACTGAATTATGTCATGAGCTCCTGAAAGGCTGACAGTAGTAGTATGTGTCAAAGACACGACTAGATGTGTAGCTTTGTATGGAATAATTCAATTCTTTTTTTGTTTCTTTTTAAAATATATTATTTTTACGTTAATGACAGTACATACGGCGTCAAAGATTCTAATGAAATTCATAGGCCGTGTAATTGTGTGCTTTAAAGTATTTTTTGGGAACAATGAATTGACATTTTATAGCCTTGTTTGAATTACCCTCTCGCCTTTGATCGTCATTCCACTCGTATTTCTTGAAGGAACTCTTTCCCACCCGATCAATTACCAGCTCAACAACCGTAACCCTATTTCACTAGGCAAATATCACCAATGTGTCTCATCATCTATTGCAGCTTGTTGAATAAGCACATGCATTACTAGAGGAAAATGCCGGCCTCTTGTTAAATCACACCCTATCAGTAACTACACACGCCCACGCGTAAGCACTGCAATGCGCCTAACCTTTCAGGAGGCGTTGCGGTCCACTTCTTCAAAGCCTCTGGAATTTGCCTTAGTCTGCCACTGTCTTTGGCGTTTCTCCGGTTTGCCACAAAATAACGTTTCGTTGATGCGGTTTCGAATTCGCCCCTAATCTACTAGTCACGACAACAGGCTCCGTGCCTCACCCCTCGCCGATTATTGAGCTTAAGGTTAACCACAAGGGCGTTACGACGATATATTCGAAGTCGGAACATGGTTTAACAGATCGGTACGTTTAGAGCTGCATGCCCACCTAATCGACAGTTTGGCCTACCTCCACTGCATCCATAATAAAGTCTTGTCCAGACTTCAATCCCTTCATAAGAGGTCTTCAAGGAAGACTCGGATGACACATAAATGGCAGGGGTTAGCTACACCCCCTCAAGTATAAAAATCCCCGTTTTTCTCTAAAAGGAAGAGCCAAGTTGTGTCTGCAGCCGAAGCTGTAGAACCTGACAAAAGAAGGGCCTTTGAAGTCACGTCGGCCTTTGGTTGCTACTACAATCTCTCGTCCTGGATGGATGGATGGATCCGGGATGATTGGGGATGGACATCATGGAAATGCAAACAACGTAACATGGAGCAATGAGCGCCGAAATTCAGTTTCATGAAACGGTTTTCTGCATTTTATTCAATGCCTCCTCCTGTATGTAAAATTTTGCTGAGCATCCACCAGCCTTCAACAGTACTAAGCGAGTGAATTTAAACGCTAGCGTTAACCTAGAGCACGTAGCCGGAATTCGTGGAATGCACAGTTAATGTTAAATTCAAATATTTTATTTTGACGACCCTAATTTCTGATCCGTTGTGGAAAGGTGGTGGGGGTTTGTGGCCCCCCGACTACGTTGCGATGGTCGATGGAGAAAAATGGCCACGGGAAGAGATTCGTGGAGAATCATATCTACGGTCTCCTCTATCTCGGTGTCATGAGGTTCTGTCCCTGTCATTCCTATTAACAGCCATCAATCATCCTGGACTGCTTTATAAGCATTCAGCGAGGACTCAGCCACTGCGAATGCCTATCTTCATCCACCAACCTGAGTGCTATCTTTACTGGCGAAAATTATTTTTCTTACCTTTTCTTCAAAAAAGGCAAATTACATGCAGCTAAAAATATTATGACATGGCAGGGATGGTAAAAAATTTTGGTTAATGCTTGGTCTCTTGCGCCGTTTTTTTGCTTAACGCTTAGGAGGAAAAAATGTTGTGGACCACATTTCAGGGAAGGCGAGAAGGATACGCAAGCCCCTACAACTCACAGTAGGCGCTTAGGAAAAAGTTGGAAGTGAAGTCGTCCTTCGACCCTTCAAAAGTCTAAAATTTGGCAAATCGGAATGCTCTGCCCAACGGTTGATTTGGATCCCAGCATGGAATAACCTGTCAAGCGATTGTAATACTCTGCCATCGGAAAGTGGTTTGGAGTTATACTGATGACAGCAGTGAGACATGCAAGTATTCCTGACCTTATACCGAAAATTGGCATTGAATTCTTAAGGAATTTTAGGGAAAGGCGACGTTCGTGTGGAAAAAGACCAATAGAAGAAGAGGCGAGCTGACCCTTGACCCTTAGCCCCGCATCAGAAGTGCGGTTATACGGAGATGATGACATTTTCTGTTCCAGTATCAAAATGACAATGATTGGTAGACACGGTGCCCTCAAC